AGCCAGAGGTGAAGAGCTACAACTCCCATCATCCCTGACAGTTCCGTGCCATTAAATGTTGACCGGATCTCCCACAACAGTTGACCACTAGGTACCACACCCCTTATCACCCACCAAGCTCCCTCTTACACTGCCTTCACCTTTCCTAGGATGGGGGGGGGGAAGAGAACCTTCTCTGTTAAACACCACCAGACTTCCAAAAACTGCAGCCTCCATTTTCACTTCTCCTGCCCTTCCAGCTGGACTCGCCCTGGAGAGCTTAACGAAGAGAGGGATGGTTTTGATGGTCTATCTTTTTCATTCAATGGGAGATGGGGGACTAGCCACCATCTTTCTATTTTGTGCTGGAAAAGAGGACCATCTTTGGTGCTGCAGCCATGGCGCAATCCCATTGAATCCCTGTTTGGTGCTCTTGCTGGAGGCCCCAAATGCAGAGGACCATTCTCATGAGAACGTTCTTTGTATTTGTCTGGGCCATTCTGTGCACTTGCCAGGTCATGCCATGGCTGACCATGTTTGGTAGCACCACCAAAGATAGCCATCTTCCCCAATGAGTGACAGAAGCTCCCACCTAGGGCAGCTCCACCCCACCCCCCAAAAAAATAAACAAACACAATGCCTGTACACCACCTTCCAGGATAGCATGACCACACTCTGCGGAACCCAGGACTTGAGTCCCCACTTCAAACTGCAACCAATCATACTTTCCACATAGTCAGAAACACAGTTGTTCAACCAATTCAGGCCAGTTTCAATCCAAACAGAAACCTAATCTGCATATTTTTCCCAGCAACCCTGACCCCACTCCAAAGTGGTGACCCCAGCTTCCCCCAAACCAGGTGCCCACAGTTCAGATAGCCTATCCGGTTCATCCTCTCAATTCGCCTGACCACTTTTGACCTATCCTTGCACCCCCATGTAATAGATTGCTCTGGTGCAAGTCCCAAGTTTGTAGAAAGTTTTGTGCAAGTCACCGGGCTTTGAGACAGCATACAATTTCTTAGCCCTTAGAATAGTTAATGATACAGTTTTAGTAGCATGGGCCTTAAGCCCTCACTAGACTCTGTTGCATGCTTATTGTTGTACTTCTTTGTTTGGTGCTATACACCCCATTTTGGTTATGGATTTCACTGTGAGAATGATGGTTTGGAAAACACTCTCTCTTTTCTTCTCTTTTGTGGTTTCTCTGCCATTGCCTCCAGTGCTATCGTATGGCACATCTTTTAGCCAAGTCTCTCCAGAGACAAGGAGTGGATAGAATTAATTTACCCCCGCTGCATGTTTTATATCTCTTCTATCCCTCCTGATCTTACATGAGGAAGGTAAATCTCCAATGCAGTGCCCAGATCCAAGTCCCTGAGGTGTCTGCACTCTCCAGGATCCAGGCCCTGAAGCCGATGTGCCCCAATGCCAGCCTGGATGGCAAAGTTCCAGTGCCATCACCCACTGTCAGTTTTTCAAGGTTCCTGCATCACCACGCCCTCCGGCCAAGGCAGACATTTAGCCACCTCATGGACACTGACACATCTTCATGCCCACATCACAAGGTTCCTGCCAGGATGGATGTCCCATTATCTCATAGACATTGCTGCCACCTGAGATGCCCGCATTCCTGGACAGCACTCAGCTACATTGCTGCAATACTGCCCCGTGGACTCTAACCCCTCTTGTCCCCCACCGGACTCTCTATTTGGACTTTATACATTGCTCTTTCCACTGCTTTTGTTATTGTGATTTCTTCTCATATTGCCTAGTACCTCAGCCATTGGACTCCTATCCAGACCACATGGACTCTCATTGCTCATCATACTATTGCTGCTGATATTGCTTATTGTTTTCATTGACACTGCTTATTGCTTTCTTCTATTGCTGCTATTGATGACACTATTGATTATTGCTACTGATGTTATTGCTTTAGAATATATGGGTTCTGGATGAATGATTGTGTGATTTCAGGAACCCCTCTCTATAAGTGAGATACTCTCTTCTGCATAGTGACCTCTCCTTACAAATTCTCACCCCAAATTTTTATGACAAAGACTAATTTGAAAGACATTGATCTCATGCACCTGTGCTTTGGTCTCAACATTTTCAAGTGTGGGATTCTGTTAGCAAATATGAAATTAATAAAATTTTAGGACAAATGTGGAGTTCCCTCTTTGACCCCGAACTGACCTCTGTGGGATGTCAGCCATAATACTATACATGGCAGGTCAGGTAGGTACAAGGAAGGCCTGCCGAAACAACTGCAAAATTCCTTACCAGACAGGTTTGGTAGTTGTTAAAGGGGAAAGACCATTATCCCAAAAGTCAACATAATAGGGCAGGGGTAAGCAAACTTTCCCACTTTAGGGGCCGAGGGACTTCAGCTCCCAGAAGCCTCAGCCATGTTGGCCAATAGTCCCATGTTGGCCAATAGCTCCTGGGATTCTGGGAGCTGAAGTCCCTTGGCCCTTAAAGGGGAAAGGTTGCCTACCCCTGTAATAGGGCTTATTTGTCCTGAGTCTTATTCCTAATGGGGCAGTGATCAGATTTAATTGCACCCTTTTCTCTAAGCCTCCACTCCTTGATTGTGTCAAGACCAAGTGCATTGTCTAGGTCATCCTCACACCTTGGCTTAACAAAGCCCAGGCAATCGACACCTTTGTCCAGGCTTTATCCAAGGCATTAAGTCTCTAGCCATTGGCAAGATATTTCTTATATAAACCTCTAGATTTTTAGACTCCACGTGCTATCTTTGGAGTGCAACTTGGCTCCATGTAAGTCTGTGCTCTGATCATAGCTCCCTCGGCCATCCCTTCCCTCCATTTCAGCAGCTGTGCATCATCATCATCATCACATCCACAGCAGATCCTAGAGAAGCCTTTGGAAGTGAGTATCTCCCATATTCCCACTTTCACCCCTTTTGCTTCTAGTGTACAGTCAGTGTTTGTGCCATATTTCAGTGTGTGCATTTCCCCCCTTTAATAAATATTTAGAAGCCTGCCTCAGCATCATCCATTGTGGGATCTCTTTGGGCATCTGCAGACCAACCCAAAGGGCCAGCCTAGAGGAAGAGATGGGGAGGGGCAGCCACACACTGGCCACCCCAACCCCAGCCTGACAATGTCCTGATGCTGTGCACCATTACACACGGTATGTGGTGTCAGGATGTTCTCCCGGTGCAGTGTCCTGATGCACTGTGTTGGAAGGGATGCTAAAGAGCCACGCGCCAGCTCTCAGGGCACCCTTTTGCCACCCCTGAAAGGAGCGGCATTTTGCCTCTCTTTCAGGGGTGGCAAAAGGGAGGATCAGGGCTGCAGCATGGGGTAGACACAACCCCAATCTGCAGCTAGCAGGGGTAGCCCAGAGCCACCTGTCTGCAGCCCCCCTTAGTCCTCTGGTATACATATCGGTACTCCAGTCTCGTGGGGTGTTTTTAGGGCTCCACTCTTGCATATTTGAGCTAATTATAAATTCCCCTAATCAGATCCTTCCTAACAAAGAGAAGAATCTGCTTTGTACAGAGACATCTTTGACCCTCACTATGGGGTGAAACAAATGGGCGAGAAAAATTGGCTTGAAGTTGCCTTTTCCGAAGACACATTGAAACCCCCACCAACCACATCACTGGCTCCTAAGGCAGCTAGAGTGTTCATGTCATGACCACACAGCATGGCTCTTAGCTGCACTGCTGAGTACTTTTTTTTTACTGTCCTCTACACCATCTCTGCACACCTTCACAGGAGTGAACTGTTGCACACATTCACATGTTCAGCATTTTGCTGGGACAGGGCATCAGAGCAGAGGTGTGCCCATGTAAATGCCAGCATGGTACAATTATGCCTCCCTTCACCCCCCCCCCCTTCACCCTATACCCCCTTATTGACCGTCTGTTTTGTGTATGTTGTACTCATCTCCATGAAAACTTCTATGGTTTCTTGTTTGGACATTGCCACCCTCACCACTTGTTTATGGCAGCTCTATTCCTTTTAAATGCACTCCTGCAATGAGGCATTTACATGCACAATTAGGGTTTGGAAAGAGTGCCCCTTTAGAGTTACACTGGCATTGGTGCATTTTCGTGTACATGCGATGGTGAGCACTTTCCAGGAAGAAGCGGGGAAAAAACAACTTCTTTTTGAAGCAGCTTTTCTCCCCATAAGATGGCTAGAAGGCGCTTTCTGGCCAGCTTCAAAGTGTGCATCATCTAAACATTCGCCTTGAGGCCCACCTGAAATCTGCTTATTTTGCCCATCTATTTCACCCCTACAGCATTTTGATGCCACTTTATTTGGCATAGCACCATTCTTTGTAATCCTGGAATTTGTACTTTTGTAGTTAGAATCCTCTGCCTGAGAGTTCTAGGGTCTCACAAATCCCAAGATTCCATAAGAAGGAGTCATGTCATGCAACATGAAAAGGCCCAGTGACTCCCCACATAATTAAGAATTCTGATTTGCTTTCTACAGACAAAGATAAAGGAAAAGATATAGCTACCTTACTTTTTTTTTTACTGTTAAGTGCATTTCCACTGCCTAAATAAAACTAAATATGTCATTGTTGTTGTGTGCCTTCAAGTTGTTTCCAACTTATGTTGACTCTAAGGCAAACCTATCATGAGGTCTTCTTGGCAAGATTTGTTCAGAGGAGGTTTGCTATTTCTTTCCCCTGAGGCTGAGGGCATGTGACTTGTCAAAGGTCACCCAGTGGGTTTCATGTCTGAGCAGGGAATCAAACCCTGGTTTCCAGAGTCACAGTCCAACATTCAAACCACTACACCATGCTGTCTCTAAATATGACTGAATACAAGGGCTCAAACAGAGATTTTGAGGAGTAAAGTATTAAACACCATGAATCTGAATGGATAAATCTGTGTTGTTTTTGGTTTCTCCCAGATTATATTTATACTTTGGGTTCTTTGTATGCTAAATATAAATAAATTTCAGCATGCTAGTAAATTTATAACACAATAAGTCATATGATTACATTCATAGTAGCAGAAAGATGAATTGTACAATGAATTTAAAGCCATTCAGTTGACAAAAGTGAGACTAGAAAACTAGTGAATAAAATAGTTAGGTGGACTAATATTACAACTGCTTAACTGATGTAACTTTCTCTCAGCAACACTATAATTGTGTTACAAGACCTAACTAAATATCCTAAATAACTCATTTTCACTTAACACTTTCTGACATATTACAAACTAAGGACTTGGTTGTTCTTTTTGTTGTTGTTAGCTGTTCTTAAGTCAATCTCAACTAATGGCAACACTGTGGATAAGACCTCTCCAAGCCCTCCTATCCTCTGCTATTCTGCTTTGATTCAGACCCATGACCTAACTGATTAAGGGCCTCGGCAGACGACTCAATTGAGCCGTCTCCGAGGCCAGGAAGAGGAGGGGCCACCGCACGCGCGGCGGCCCTTCCTCTTCCTGAGGTTGCCCTGAACGCTTCTGGGTCACCGCACGCCGGACGCATTCAGGGCGACCTCCCTCCACAGCGTCCGGACGCGCTGTGGAGGATAAGTCGCAAAAAGGGCGCCCGCCGCTTTTAGGGCGCTCTTTTTGCGACTTATGAAAGGAGTGCCTTTTTGGCGCTCCTTTCAGGGTCGCCGGGGAGGCGCCGCAGTGAGGCTGTCATAGCCCCGCGGTGCTCCGGACCAGGGCGCTCCAAACGCCCTGGTCTGCATCCCCCTTAAGTCTAGCCACCTGGCATGCAGTCTTCCATTCTTTCTTGAGATTTTCTTGATTTCTCTCCATGTTTAATTGGAGACTATGGCCTGAAACAGATGGGCAATAAAGTGCAGCTTCCAGATGCTCTGGGGGCATGGCATTTAGATGACACACTCCCCCAAAGCAGCTGGAAGCTGCATGGAGATGACATACAGCTGGGAAAATCCAGCTACAAAAGGAGCAGAGTTCACTCTTTGTTGGCTTCCCATTTGGGACTGAGGCGGTGGCCCGGATTAGGGCCAGGTGCATGCAGTCACTGTGGTCCCATGCTAATTGGGACAGTAGTGGCCTCTAGCCTTTTGTTCCATCTGTCTGAGGCCTGTGTTACAGAATTCTAAGCATAATTTTGCTTGTGTGGGAAATTAATGCTGTGATCCTATATCTGTTGCAGTCTTCTGTATTTCCTATTTTGTGGATGGGGATAAATCTTGAACATTTCCAGTCTGTTGGCCATCATTTTGTTTTCTATATTGCTTGGCATAAGGACTTAACCACATGAGAAAAGAAAGGCAAAACGGATCAGTACCATAGCAGCTTTCTCTTTGCTGCTCCACATGCCATCGTAGGACATCTGTTCTTTTCCTGATGGGAGACAGTCATCAAAGCATGCCTTTTGCTGAATGATTTTTTCCAGTGTAATAGAAGGCACACTTTAGTCAAAAACACCATGGAGAAATAATCCAGTTTGAGACCATATTAACTGCTCTGGCTCAGTGCTAGGAAATTCTGGGAATTGTAGTTTCTTGTGATGCCAGAGCTCTCTGGCAGAGAAGGCTAAATGCCTTGCACAAGTACAGTCCCCAGAATTCTCTAGCACTGAGCCAAGAAAGTTAGAGTGATCAAGTTAAAGATGGAGCTATACCTGGCAGTCCTATGGCTGGTTTAGTCTGCTAGGGAAATGGCTGAGCAGAAGGAACAGTCTCCATCACCAATCCCACCACCCATAAGTATGCTGGCAGAGACTTATGACTCATTAACATGCTGTGAAATCTCAGCTAATGCTTCCTATCTCCCATCTCAAGATATCTCTTAGGATTTATGGTATCTATATTTGCCATTGTATTCTCAGTAATACCACTGGGTAGCAGAGCAAGTTATTTAAAAATGTAATATTAAACCTACAGACTATTGCAATTAGAAGGAATGGACTTAGCATATGGATGGCATGCATATTTAATGTATGACAAAATCAAAGTAAACAAGGAATTTAATAATCACCAATAAGAAAAGCAGTTTTGCAAGTATGGCAAAAGTACCAGAAAATATTTATTAAAAAGATTCCACAATGGACATCGGTAAATGAAGCTTTTTATAGAAGGGAAAAAATGAAAGGTGATGACTGGATTGCATACAAGGACTTATTAATATGGGAAAAAGATACACCAAAGATGAAAAGTATAGAACAATTGCTAGAAGAAGGCTTTAAATGTAATTGGTTTTTATATAGACAAATTATGGAAAGATTTAAAATGGACATGAAAATAAATCAGATAGAGAAAGAAGAATCTGAATTTGAGAAAGTAATGTTAGAAACCACACAACATTTGGTTTCAAAATTATATAAAATGCTTTTGAAGGTTGAAATGGAAGAGGAATCGGTAAAGGAATACATGATAAAGTGGGCACAAGATGTGGGAAGACCTATAATGTTTGACGAATGGGGAAAAAATGGAAGAAAAGAATAAGATATACACTAAGTTATGATGTAAGAGAGAGTTATTACAAGATGCAATACAGATGGT